TTAGTTTTTTTATTATTAGGGCCTTATTTTTTTATATATTTTTGTTGAGTTTGTAACATGTTTTTATGTTACGATATCGTTATGTTGTTTTTGAAAAAAAAAAATATATTAAGAGTTTATTTGTTCTATATTTTATTTTGTTCTTGCAATCATATATTTAATAAATTATATAATTTATCTTATCGGCCAAAAATATTCGTCACCACGTGCATCGCACGTGCACATTACTAGTTAATTCAAAACGTGTTGAGCCTAAGTGGCAAATTCAAAATTTGTTGAGCCTAAGTGGTAGATTCTCACGCTTCGAATGCTGACATGGTGAAAATCTATAGTTTGTGATGCTTATTTTATATTATTTTTGCTCTGGAGTTAGATTTGATATTAGACATAAATAACTTATATTCTGAAATTGAAAACATAATTCTACGAAAATAGAATGTCATCTTTTGCATAAATGAATAAATAAACAAATTGTATATTCAAAATCAGGAAAGTATATAATAACTGTTAAAAAAAACCAAATTGTTTGCTCAGACTTCTGCAAATGAATAATAAAAGACACATAAATAAACAAACGATCTGTGCCCTACAATAAGCTTAATACTACATCAACAAATCCTAAAAAATTGTATATCAACAAAACCTAAATCAAGACAAAACTTTTCCATCTCTTATATGACTCGTGCCCAAAAAACTTAAATGACTCGTGCCCAAAAAAAATTAAGCATTTGTGCGTTTGTCCTCGAGGAATTTAACCAAGCCTACTAATGCAGTATCGGGATCCTCGCTCTTCATCAGCTCCCCCGCCAGCTCAGCAGGTGTTGCCTCGACTTTCGTCAGCAGCTCGTCAATAACCGGAAACAATGAGTGCTCCTCTATTCTCAGATAACTCCAGGCGAGTATCTTAAATCCGCCAAACGTGCAGTAAGACATCTCGAGGTGGATATCCATACGGCCTGGCCTAAGCAAAGCCGGGTCCAGTCGATTTTTGTGGTTTGTTGTGAAAACTATAATCCTCTCGTCCCCACAGCTCGACCAAAGCCCGTCTATGAAGTTGAGCAGTCCAGACAGAGTTATCTGTTTCAGTACATAAGAAGAATCTCGTTTGTTAGTCAAATTTACCAACTAAATGACTTGCGTGAAAAAAGCAAAATCTAAACTTGCACCACAAGTACAACCACATATCTAACTAAATGACTAGATATAATAAAACATATCCATTGTAAGACCGTTCTATGCAATTAGAGAAAGCATACAATCACTCGTTTTCTCGTCTTGAGTTTAGTTTAACTCGTCTGATAAATAAACGAGCTGGGTTCAAGCTCGTTTAGTTAACGACCCAATCTGGCTTGGCTCGTTAAGACTCATCAAGTTTGAAAATTACGGGCTTTCACGTAATTTTGATAGTCTTACCTTAAGCTCAGCTAAGGCACAAAATTGGCTTATTAATTTTAGTAAACAAGCTATATTCAAGCTCGTTTATTGGCTCATTTAGTTAATGAAGGAGCCAAATTTGAGTATCGTGTTCAGCCTCGGCTCGTTTACAGTTATGTATGCAAGCATAAAAATTGTGACTATTTACATAAAAAGGAAAAGAACACATTGACAACCAAACCTTGTCATCTTCACTAGTTGCACTATCCACCTCTCTATTCTGCAACCCCACATTGCAATCGATATCCTCGATCACAAGTATGGACCGATTAGCCGAGCCAATCAACAGCCTTCTCAAATCTGAATTACACTGCACCTCCCTCAAATCCAAGTCATAGACATCAAACTTGAGATGATTGGCCATGGCTGCAACTAGGCTCGATTTTCCAGTCCCGGGCGGCCCGTAAAACAAGTAACCTCTTTTCCACGCCTTCCCCACCCTTCTGTAGTAATCCCTCCTCTTCACAAACCTGTCCAAATCCTCAATCAGCCCCCTTTTCACATCCGAATCCATAGCCATGGTCTCGAAAGTTGCCGGGTGGTTCAAAACCACTGAGCTCCAATAATCTGTGCCGTTGTAATCCACCGTGTGAAGCCTCACATTCCTCATCTGTTCCTTAATCTCCTTTGCCTTTCTCAATATGTGGGGCAGGTAGACCTTCAGAACAGAGTCCTTGTGCTTCTTATTGAAGCTCAGCTCGAAAAATCGGAGTTCGGTTCGGGCGCTCGAGCTCTTCTTCCCTTCCGGCGCCCTATTGGATACGGCTGACGACTGAAGGACCCACCGGAATTTGATCCCGCCGTGAAAATCGATGACTTCCTGGTTTCGATCGACGGTGACGGCCAAATCGTCGTCCTTCTCGGGTTTGTTGATTTTGATCCGCCGCGTGGAGGGGGAGATCCGGGAGCCGAGGTAGGTGGTGGCGGCGTCGAAGAGGTGGTTGGTGGTGAGGCCGTCGGACTCGTCGATGACGACAGTGAGCTGGGTCGAGAGGCGATCGGCGATTTTATGGAATGAGGAGCAGAGGTAGGTGTGGATCTGCTGGGGAATGATTTCGTTGGCGATGGATTTGATGAGAATTAGGGTTCCGATGACGGAGGCGGCCGCCGTCAGGGTTTTGTCGGCGGCCGGGAGGCATTCTGATGACATCATTCTTTTTTTTTTTTTTTTT